CAATTTTGTTCAAGGACAAGGTAAAAGGATTTTCTGTCGTGTAATATTACATTATTGTAAACTTTCTTACGTAATTAACAAAATAAAATTTAGGCAAATTCTATCAATGCTTTTATATATATGCTATAGTAATATAATAATATTACTATAAAATACTTTAATAAAATACTTAATATTTAACATAATAATACAATAGTAACATTTAATATAATAAAATTATTTAATATAATTATGAAAAAAATTTAAAAATGTTAAATATTTAATATAATAATACAATAGTAATATTACATTAAATATTGTGATATTATATCTAGTATCTAATGTCTATAATATTACATCTAATTTGTATATTTTTACATGTTACAGTCTGTAGATTCTTGCAACTCTAAATTTCCTCAAAAACACATGAAAATTCGCGATAATATCCCAAAGAAGGAAATGAAAATTATCTTAAGCATATCCCTTTGCGCATTTCTTTCATTCCAGTCGTTGAAAATTTTCTATCAGAGGAAAAGGAGGAATCGATTATGGGAATCGAGCGAGTGCATATATATATATATATGTATATATATACCTACATGGTTGTAAATCCGAAGGAGAGACGAACGAAAAAGAGACGAACTTACCGCAAGGTAAATCATCGTGTAGGCCGAGAACGACGAGTGACCCGAGGGAAAGGATAATCTGAAACGATCAACGTCATAAATTACACCGTGTCAAATAAATTTCATTTGTCGTCGTTCCTACAAAAAGTATTCTCCTCTTATAAGGAAGACGATGGAAAAACTCTTTCTTTTTTCTTTCTTTCTTTTTCTTTCGTAAGAAAACTGATTCATTTTTTTTTTTTTTTAATTCAGATCCAATATCCGTGGTCTATTTGCTTACTTACTTATTTATCGTTTATAGGTGTATTCAATGAGAAACAGGGAAGGATCGAAAAAAAGATTTGTCGAGAGATATTAATCGAATCCAGAGATTTATTATATTAGTCGATCGCGTCGATGTCAATTTTCCACGAGTATGATACAGCAATATTTAACGCGAGAAAAAAAAAAAATTGATGAACGATGGGAATTCAATTCAAATTATCAATCAAAAATATGATACACCAATTATCCAAGTGTAATGCGATACAACGTAATGTCCATATCTAATGAGAAAATAAAAGAGCGCAGAAGAGGTGCGCCCTAATCTGTTCAAACTGGTTACACGCGTTCGGTAATGGGAGCCTATTAATTTTATCAGGATTAATTCCAGGGCGTGTTCCGTCGCGATTACAATCGGAGGATGCGTATTTACCCTGGAGCGTGGATCGTAAAGATTCAACGAAAAATCTTCCGACCCCGGGGAAGGGGAGGAGCATCAAAATGAACAGCAGGAAGCAACAATACAAAGAAAAGAAAAGAAAAAGGGGGGAGGAGAGAGAGAGGAGGGAGCAGAAAACGAGAGAAAGAAGAGGACAAAAGAGAAAAAGAAGTCAGGGAGTGGAACTCGGGCCTCCATCTGTAAGAGTAATTGGCCATCAAAAAAACTGCACCTTTAATCGGACATTATCTACCCTCTGCTTCTATTTATCTTTCTCTCTTTTATTTCCTTTTCTCTACCTCGGCGCGTAGCCAATATTCGCCAAGCTTATTTTCCTTTCTTTTTTAACATAATGCACGTGTGCTTATTTTATTCAGATTGAATGAGTAATTTAATTTTGAGAAGATTGCTTTCTTTTTTCCTTTTTTTAATTGTTTAAGATTATGCATCTGTTCTGGAAGCTGTTGACTTGCTGATAATTGCAAGATTTATTATAGCCATCTCAGATCCTTTGGGATGATACCAGCGATTAGGTAGCTGAGCTTTTTATTGTTTTATCATATGTATTATCCGGATTATGTTCAAAATTGCATTTTGAAAATATTGTTGCGTTTTTCAGTCTTTAAAAAAAGAAAAAAGAAAAATACTAAAAGAACACCCTGATATTTCATAAAACCTGGATAACAATTTAAGACGCAGATTATAGTTTCTAAAGTTGTGTGCAATATCCTAACCGACGATGGGAATTAAAGGGATTCGCAGAAGGCACGATGATCCAGACCTAAGCATGGTAGAAATACTATAGTCCGGAAGATGAGGACGCGTTGGTCCCCTCTGAACGAGCCGGAGGGTGGGACGTATGAATGAATTCTCTGTCAGGCTTTTATCGTCCGATTCCTCAAATCTTTCCACACATGGAACTGTCCCAATTCACGTGAAAGGACGGATGACCCGCGATACGCACCAGCGAATCTACACTGCTGGCCGAAAGTAAAGCAACCTGCCTTTCAAAATTACAACAAATCGACACTGAAAACAAATCAGTGAAAATTTCAGGCTCCAGGAGCCAGTGTAAATCACTTATTATTATATAAAGATTACACTGCAGATACTCTTTTATCGTCGAAATCTTCAGTTTTATTATTACACATGATCGTTGACAATAACATAATATTATAATGTTTCATTGATTAAATATTAACATAATATTATATAATAACATAATATAATACAATAACATAATACAATAACATAATACAATAACATAATATTATAATGTTTCATTGATTCAAACGAAAACTTCATATTTTTCAAAAGCCATTTTCTTAATGAAAAATGAACTCGGCTTCTGACTCATTGGTAAAAATATTATCTAAATTGGCAAACAATCGCTAGCTAATGAGTATGTAATTATTCACAACTCTTCCACTAGTAAAAATGAGCTTCCGTTTGCTTTCTGTTCTTTAGTTAAAATATTAGCAGATCGTTTGTTTTCCTTTCTTTTTCACTTTTGTTTCTAGTTAATAATTATGTCAACACTTTTAGAGTTTTATCTCATATTCGGATTTCTACGTATTTTCACAGTAGGCATCTTGTTTTGTTGTCCCTCCCTCGCAAGGAGACTTGAGAAGACCCGAGACAAGCTTTTGATGTTTGCTGACTTCGAGCTACATAAATTGATTCAAGCTTTCGATTCATATTAAGATAAATGTGCGATGTTATCTATATTTTATAGCAGTAATTAGCTACATTATTCTATATTCTTTCTAGCAATATTAGCAATATATTAGCTATATTAGCTATATATTCTAGCAATATTAGCTATATATTAGCTATATATTCTAGCAATATTAGCTATATATTAGCTATATTAGCTATATATTAGCTATATTAGCTATATATATATTCTATAACTTTCTAGAAATTTCTTTCTAGAAAAGTTATATATTCCCTAATATAAATAAAAATATGTTATATATTACATAATAGTCTGCAGATAAATGTTGTATATTCTGTAATAGTCTATTCTGTATCAAAAAGTTGTAGAGGTTTCCTGTATTAAGAAACACAGTGGCAAAATTCGAAGCAAATTGCCTAACTTTTGAACGAAGGTGTAGGTAAAGTAGTAAACTGGCTACCGGCAAAGAAAGGTCCGCGTTCTTTCTTTTGTACGGTTGATAACGAGCTACCTACAATTTCCTCGACGACAGGCACTACTGTAAGAAACAAAAAAAGAAAGAAAGAAAGAGAAAGCAGGTATAATTTCTGATCGTGGGCTTCCATAATAGGCCTGCGAAATAATTTTTTTTCGTCGGTTTCGCTCGTTTAGTTACGCCTTGCAGTTCGATCCTTTCGGGCGAGGTAATCCGGAACCGGAAATTACTAGCTATTGAGGCTCTATTATCTTCGTCAATTATG